CAGATTGAAATTCTCAGAAATATCTATCCAAAGGAGTATTCCACCCAGTTTTGGGTTTTGTGGTTTGTGCTTTTTTCTTACGTAGCTCAGGGTATCATCCTGAAATCCACATCACTAATGAAATTCCTCAAGTAACCAGATGCAAAACAGCATCGATTTAGTTTGGCCATATGGACAGTCTAGGACTCGTATGAACATCCTTAATTTGGTCAGTATCTTGATATCATTTGTTGCCACATTCTAGTAATGAGGTTCTGTTGATGTTAATGTTAAGTTCAGGATATTATGATATTTAGGGAGGTAAACTGAAGTCAGAAAGATATATTTAAGTGCTGAAAATAAGTAATTTTCAACTGATGATACTCAATGCTTCCAGATTATTGCTCAGAATTGAATGAGAAATAAAATGCTAGATAGGTAAACAGGGATTGAACAGCTGATGAATTTAATAGGGAATTCTGTTAAATTCAAAGGAATTCCACTGTAGGGCCATTTCCTTGTACATGGCCAAACTGGGTTCAATTCCTGGCACTTCATATGGTCCTCTGAGCACTGCAAGGAGTGATCCCTGAATATAGAGTTAGGAATAAGCCCTGAGCACAGCTAGGTGAAACCCCCGAACAACTAAAAGGCAATCCCACCTAGAAGTAGTAAGATATCAAAATATACAACGTGAATGTTGTCTCACTAAAAATGTGCTCACAGATTGATTCCAAGATCAGTATACCACATGGGCCACAAGTATACAACTTTATGTATATACTTAGGAAGACAATACAATGAAAATCTACAGAAGAAAATCATATGGAACTGGAAAAGGAACTCAAAAAAGCACAAAAGGAAGATGTTAAAGCATATGAAAAAAATAAGAACAAAGAAACAAAAAGCATCTCCCAAAAAAACTAATAAAAAGGAAACAAATATTTTAGCTTCAATAATTACGCTAAATGATAACAGTCTGAATTCACCGTTAAAAGTATAGAGGTTTTGGTGAAGGAGAAAGCTCAAACGGCTGGAGCACATACATTGGGTTTATCTTTGGCACCTCATAAAACCTGGAATCTCACAGGAAGCAACCCACTCCAAACACTTATTGGTGTTGTCCCAAAACTAAAATGAATGAGTAAATGAACAAATAAAACCTTCTTCTAAAAAGTACAGACTAGTTCGCTATTGCAGAGGTAAAACACTTGCCTAACAGGCAACCAATTCTGGTTTGATCCCTGGCACCACAGAGAGTACCCTTGAGAATCGCCATGAGTGATCCCTGAGCACAGCAAGGTATGGTCCCAAAGCCAAAACTTAAGAAATCCAACATTTTGTTGCTTAATGGAAATTCAGTTCCCGTAACAAATCTAGGCCTGAGGTAAAGTTGAAAGGTAATTTTTCAAGCAATTAAATTACAACCTATAGGAAGCAGGTACAAGACTATGGATATGGCTGAAAGGTGCATGCCTTGCATCTGGAGGCCAGGGAGCCATATGTACAACCCTGGGGCCCTCAACATGTCTGTTATGGTCCTTGTGGCCCTGTAGAACCTTTTGAACTCATCTTGGAGGCTCCATCATCACTGGGGTGGCCGGTATAACCCCTGGCACTGCTGGGCCTGAGCAGCATCGCATCATAGGCTTTGTCTATGTGGGTGGAATCATGAGCCCTTGAGCACTGCTGGGAAGGACCCAAGCACCAAAAAAAAAAATTTAAAAAAAGCAACAAGTTTTCCAAAAGATTTCTTGCTTTTGCAACCATTTAAAAACAATTTTTAACCTAAGGGAATGTTTTCTCAGGACTGACTCAAACTGTATTTCTTTACCCAGAGGATTCATTCAGATTCACCAACATCTGAATCCCAGGAACACCTTAACTTTGAATTGTGAGGGCTGGAGAGATACTATTGTGGGTAAGGTGCTTGTCTTGCCTGTGTCTGACTTGAGTTTGATCCCTAGCACCCCATCCGTTCACCTGAACCCCCCCAGAAGCGATTTCTCAGTGAAGAATGAGGAGTAAACCCTGAGTACCACCAAGTATGCTCCCCAAACCAAAAGATATAGAGGTACCAGAGCAATAATACAGAGGGTAGGGTGTTTACCTTGCATGTGGCTGACCCAGGTTCAATCCTCGGCATCCAATATGGTCCCCTGAGCACCTCCAGGAGTAATTCCTGAGTAGAGAGCTAGGAGTAATCCCTGAGCACTGCCAAGTGTGACTGCCAAGAAAAAAATACCCAAAAGATATAGAGATAAGTAATTTTTAAATTGTGAATCTCTGGGGGAAATAGCTCAAAGAGCTAGTGTCCCTACTTAGTCTGTGGGAGGTCCTCAGAGCCACATATAATCACCCACTCCTGCCAATTTAGCACCACCTGGTCCAACCCTGGAGGAAAGAATAGCTTTTGAGTACTGCCTCTGTGTCCTGAAGACAATTGACGACTCTCCTTGTCTACTGAATGTAAGCTAGAAAGGTAGGTTCTTATGCTTTCTTTTTTTTTTTTTTTTTTTTTCTTTTTGGGTCATACCTGGCATTGCACAGGGGTTACTCCTGGCTCATGCACTCAGGAATTGCTCCTGGCGGTGCTCAAGGGACCATATGGGATGCTGGAAATCAAACCAGGGTTGGCCTCGTGCAAGGCAAACATCCTACCCGCTGTGCTATCGGTCGAGCCCCGGTTCTTACGTTTTCTTGAGGAGAGAATTTCTATCTGCTGGATAATCAAGCTCTTCTCGTTCTTTTCCTGCAGTTTAGTAATAAAACAGTTTGATCAGGAAAACTCTCCAATGATTAGTGTCAAAACCTTGTAATTTTAACAGTAATGGAGTAACCTCCATAGAAAAACTCAAAATTTTCCAAATTAACTGGGTAATCCTTGCTCCCTCCCTACTTCAAAAATATGAGAGCTGTGAGTCAGGGTTCCTGTTTTGAAAAAAATGTTTCCCATGGTATAGTGAATTTAACTCAACTTGGGCACAACTCTGCATGGGTTGTGAACATGTCGGGGGGAATCCTGAGCATCTGACTAGCTTTGAATCTAGCCTTAAATCTAGTGCATTTTTGTTTGAGGATTCAAGCCAAGTATTGCTTGGTAATACTAAAATCCCCGCAAAATTACTTAGTTTGTTAACAACAAAGTCTCCAATGGAGACGTTACTGGGCCCGCTCGAGCAAATCGACGATCAACGGGAGGGCCTTTACCTTTACCTTTACCTTTATTAATGATTTAGTATGCTGCCCGCCACCCCCCCCCCCCCCATACATATACAACTAGACTGTAAGCTGAATTCAGGTTTTATATCTCATTCCTTAAACAACGCCTGGCACCGCATTCACATTCAGTAAATTCTTGTTGCATGGATGATGATCTTGGTTCAGTACGTTTTAGACTACTACCTATATGCAGGAATTAAAACAGAAGGTGAAACAGAGGGCATCCCTTCTCTGAACAGCAGGCGATCAGACTCTCTAATGCATAGAGTTTACTGCTGCAGTAAATTTGTTAAAACACATACTGGGGAAAAATCAGGGCTTGGGAGTCAGTAAGCATAATTTTATCTAGGTAACCCTGCCCCCTGGAGAAGTCTCATTTCGGGGGCGGAAGAATAGCACAGCAAGTAAAGTGCTTACCTTGCACACTGCTGACCTGGATTCGATTCCTAGCAACCCATATGATCAATGACCCCATCTGGAGTGATCCTAGGGCACATCCTGCCCCTTTCTTCCCCTTCATCTCCCCCTCAACCCCCAGTTTTGTCACCTTATCACCAAGTGCCTGGTTTCTCTTCAAAACATGCCCACCTACAATATGGATCTTACTCATTTTCAAGAAAGGTAAACAAAAGGCCAGAAAACAGCTCAATGCTCTGAAGCTCACTGAGGTCTGGAGGAGGCCCTGGTCTGATCTTGAGCACTGCAGGGTCTCCCAAGCCGCAGGGATCAACCCTTGAGCACCATCGCGGATGTAACTCCCAGAGTATCCCTAGGTATATGGCAGCAAAACAAATCAAAAAAATGAAAAAACTAATTATTTGTGTATTATCAAAGTTGGCTGATGCAGTAGGAATTGGGTGGGATTTTATTCACAAGGTTGGGATTGAGCAGTTACAGCAGAGGAAGATGAAGAACTTGAGGTGAACGTTGGCGCCAAAGAGAGAGTACAGGAGGTAAAGCACTTCCCTTGCACAGGGTCAGGCAAGAGCTTTGCTGCCATCTGTTCCCTACCTCTTTGCTAAGAGCTTCTCTTCAACTACGATTTACAGTCAGGACTGCTCTCTTCGAGATTTTCTTTGGACAACCTCAAATTCTTCAGTTTGTCTCTCTTTGCTTCCTATTCCGAAACTCAGCTCTATTTATATGTGTATTCTCAAATTCATCAAGGTGCAACGACAATCAACTTTCCTTCCTAAAATCCACTCTCCAAAGTTAGGCACACATTTTCTCTATTAATGAGGAAATTACTACGTGTCACTGTTGGCATAAAGCTGGCCAACTGACATGAAGCAGCTTAATTTTTATAAAATGATCGCAGCCTCCGGTCTCTTTTTCCCTAGCAAAAGAACAGGGTTCACCTCTTGAGAAACAACACAGTGCGTTTTAGGATCAAAACTTGTGATCTTCCTTGCCTGGAGGCTTGGCTTTGGGGAATGTTTAACCTTCAGGCAGGATCTGAGAGTCAATCCTAAAATGCCTGAAAGGTGGACAGGTGGACAAAAGCCGTTCCTAAGCGTTTGTGCAGAAGCCTAGGTTCCTGAGTCTCGAATAGTAACCTCCGGGGCAACCGAGCCCACAGAGGCAGGGGGCGCTAAGCCTGGAGAAAAGGGCCTAGCAAGTGGGTATTCTCCCCAACTTGCCGATGTCCTCCACCCACGACCACCTCCGAGCGCGTGCTCCAGGGGGCGCCCGAGCGCAGCCCGCACTCGCGGGGGCGGAGCCGGCCCGGAAGCACCCTGGACGGGCGCGCGCGCGCGGCCCCGCCCCCGCCGTGACGTCAGAGGCGCGACGCGCCGCAGCGCGGTGCACGCTGGGAAAAGGGGGATGAGCGGGCTTGGCTCGGGTCGGCGCCGAGGAGGCTGAGTTCTGCCGTGGTCGGTGGGCGATGGGCCTTTGGCACGCAGGCCCGTGCTAGGGAAGCGCGTGCGGCGCCGCGGTGAGTGCGGGTCTGGGCCCGGGTTCGCGTTTTCCGGGGAGCTGTCAGCGTCGGAAGCCCTTTCCTTCCTCCCTGCCTCCCTCCCTTCCTGCCTCCGGCGTCTGGTCACCCGGAAGACCAGCTTCTCCGCGGAGAGGGGTGGCACCAGCCCGGAGGGTCCGCTCTCGGACCCAGGGCCGCCCGTCCGGCCACCTCGAAGGCCAGCCTTTGCTGCCCGCCAGCGAGTCTTTGGTGGACTCAGGTTGTTTTTTTTGCCCTCTTCGAAGGTGGCCTTGACCATTGCTCCTCTCCGGACGGTCCCACCTGGACACCGACCTCCCCCTGCCCCCGTCGTCGGCCTCTCTGCTGCCTGTCTCTCCTCCCAGGCCCTGTCAGAGGGCCCCCCCCCCCCCCCCGGGCTGCTTTTTCAGCCCATCCCAGTCCGACTTAATTTTAACGATGCCCCTGTCTGGAGTCTTGAGCAGCTTAACGGATAAAGCTCGTCCGAGTTAAAAACTACGGCGCCGACCCCCCACCCCCACCCCCCGACCGAAACGGCTTTCCTCTCCTAAAATACGTGGCCCCGCTCCTGGAGTCGTGGAGCAAGTTGATTTTTCCCCTCCGCGCCGCCTTGGAGATGAGCAGAAGCGCGAATAGCTGCGAGGTTGCATTTCTCCGTAAAGCGGCGGACCCACGCTTTGGGGGTTAATGCTTTCCTCTGATTAATTCGGTGACCTTGAAGCAGATCACCGAACCGTCAGAATATTTTACCTGACTCAGGTATGGCAGAGCCCTCGGAACTTAATGGTGCGAGCGCTGAAGGTTTTAGATGAAAAGGTATGCTTGGTTACGCGAAGCCCGTTGCTCTTTCCAAGCTGTCAGCATCCTTCATTTTATATGTGCGTCCTGATGCGGCCCTTAAGAATGTCAAGTGATCTCTGCTCAGGAGGTGTTTCTGTTTGAAACTTGCTCTGTGGCTTTGCTATGGAAGCAGATTTTTCATTCTGACATATTCTAAGATTTCACTGATGGGGCCACAGTGATAGGATAGCAGGTGGGGTGTTGTCCTTGCCTGCAGCTGACCTGGTTCAACCTCTGCACCCCCATGTGGCCCCCCCAAGGCCTACCAGGAATGATCCCTGAGCACAGAGCCAAGAATAAGCGCTGAGCATCGGCAGGTGTGGCCCCAAAACAGAAACAAACAAAACTGAGTTTATTGGTGAGTGCCTTCTGTACTAGTTTTTTATGACCTCACAGTACTGACCCTTTTCTATGAAAAGTGAAATATATTAATATCGTTGACTTGAAAAATGTATGTATTTCTTCTGACATTGTATGTACCTTTGAAACTAGTAAGCACAGTGATTGGGTGGGGCATTTGCCTTGCACGTGGCCGACCCGGGTTCGATTCCTCTCTCCCTCTCGGAGAACCCGGCAAGCTACCGAGAGTATCCCGCCCACATGGCAGAAGCCTGGCAAGCTCCCCATGACGTATTCAATATGCCAAACACAGTAACAAGTCTCACGATGGAGACATTACTGGTGCCCGCTCGAGCAAATCAGTGAACAACGGGAGGACAGTGCTACAGTGCTACAATCATGAAAACATCAAACTGCAACCAAAGCCCTATCTTTCCTGACATAATTATGTGCTAATTGTACATAGTTGTTTTTGTATTCGAAATAAGTGCTTGAGAAGAGCCAAACTATTTTTTAAATGTGTCTATCACTTGATTATATATTCACTTAAACTTTATTTTGGATTTTTAAATTAAGAATTTTTTTTTAAAGAATTTTTAAAAATCTTGGTCTTGTCTGATCTTGGACAACAAATCATTACAAAACGGTGACTTTTTGCAGTGTATTTTGTTTCTCTGGTATGAGCTGGTTGGTTCTCAGTGAAGAGAATGCTGCATTTGTAGTCAAATAAGCAGTTGAAGTCCTCTGCAAGCTCACCCGGCTTGGGCGTCTATAAGGGTTCATTTGTTTGACTTGGCGCTGATCTTGGCTGGAAGTTCAATTCAGGATGTCAACTGAAGTGCCTGCACATAGCTTCTTCAGACAGCCGGGACCTTCAGCATGGAGTCTGAGTTCCAGAGGCCAGTGTCTGACGAGACAACGTGTGGAAGCTACCAGTTTCTTTTCACCCCTCCTTTATGATTATTTTTTCTTTTTTAAAGTCTGAAGCAGGGGCCAGGGATATGAGGGATATGGCTCCGCAGTAGAGCTGTTGTACCTATGAGCCCCAGGGTTAATTCCTTCCATGGTTTAAAAAAATAGCTTGAAGCTTTACTTCCTCCATGCACTGTTAGGTAAATAGTAGGTATTCCTCCCTACTTGAAAGTAGACCTTACTTTTTTTTTCTTTTTTTTTTTTTTAGCACAGCGGGTAGGGCGTTCGCCTTACAAGCGGCCAACATGGCCGACCCGAGTTCGATTCCTCCGCCCCTCTCGGAGAGCCCGGCAAGCTACCGAGAGTATTTGATATGCGAGACACAGTAACAACAAAGTCTCCAATGGAGACGTTACTGGGCCCGCTCGAGCAAATCGACGATCAACGGGAGGGCCTTTACCTTTACCTTTACCTTTTTTTTTTTGAATCCCTACCTTTTGAGCTATCGCTCCAGCCCCTCGAGCAAATCGACGATCAATGGGAGGGCCTTTACCTTTACCTTTACCTTTTGAGCGATAGCACAGTGGGTAGGACGTTTGCCTTGCACGCAGCCAACATGGCCGACCAGAGTTCGATTCCTCCGCCCCTCTCGGCAAGCTACCGAGAGTATTCGATATGCCAGACACAGTAACAACAAAGTCTCCAATGGAGACGTTACTGGGCCCGCTCGAGCAAATCGATGATCAACGGGAGGGCCTTTACTTTACTTTACCTTTTAAAAGGTAGAATGTTAAAGTAGTTGAGGCAAGTTTTAGCCTATCACAGTTTTGATGATGAAGTTGTATTGAGATTTGCATTTGGAATGGAAATATGTTACAATTCCAATTTCATGAATGATATTTTTTTATCTTCATTACATAATACAGTTCTTAGTTTCTTTTGATGCATGCTTTTTATTTGGTCCCTGTAAAAACTGTACAGAAATGGATAAATCATTCCCATTTTGAAGGTGAAGTTCAGCTGAGGAATGACAGTGGTAATAGGAAGTCTTAAGGAATTTGCTCTAAGTCTTTTGATTAATAATTGGAAAATGGACTGGACTGGAGTGATGGCACAGCTGGTAAGTGTTCGTCTTGCATGTAGCTGACCCATGTTCAATCCCTGACATCCCATATGGTCCCATGAGCACTACCATTAGTAACTCCTGAGTGGAAAACCAGGAATAACCCCTGAGCATTGCCAGGTGTGGGCCCTCCCCGCCTCCCCCCAAAAAAACCAAAATAAAAATAATTGAAAAATGCAATAAAGCCTGAAACATTCAATTTATTATTAGCAAGTTATGAGATATTATGTTACGCTATTTGTAAGTAAAAGTACTCATGTGTAATAAATAGAAGCATTAAGTAAAAAGTAAAGTAAAGGCCCTCCCGTTGATCGTCGATTTGCTCGAGCGGGCCCAGTAACGTCTTCATTGGAGACTTTGTTGTTACTGTGTCTGGCATATCGAATACTCTCGGTAGCTTGCCGGGCTCTCCGAGAGGGGCGGAGGAATCGAACTCGGGTCGGCCATGGTGGCCGCGTGTAAGGCGAACGCCCTACCCGCTGTGCTATTGCAAGATAGCTAAATTTGGGGGGCTGCAGAGATAGTATAGTGAGGGAGGGTGCTTGCCTTATACAATTTCAGATACCCCATATGGTCCCCTGATCCTTGTCTACAGACAGAGGCCCAGAGCACTGCCTGATGTGGCCCCCAAACAAGACAAACTAAGAAAGAAAGCTAATTTTTGTCTGTTTGGGGCCACACTTGAGCAGGGAGTTGGAGGGTGGGGACAGTTGCAGGGGAGTCCCTCATGGTTCCTTCACTGGAGCGAACCAGCCTGAGCCATTTTCCCTGCCCCTGAATCTTATCTTCCGATTATGATTTGTGCTTTGCATTGAGGAGCACCAGATTTGATCCTCAACACGGCCTGGTCCCTGAGCACAACACCAAACCCTGCCCCAAGATTACCCCCAGCACCACTGAGCACGATGTAAATAGAGATTAGAATTCAGTTCTTCACGATTATAACTTAGAGACTTACCCATGATAAGACTTCCCACCAATACAATGAAATGAAATTATCATATAGTCTAAGTCTAATACCAATTTTAAAACTAATGGTGAATCTTGAAAAGGTTTAGGAATCCTGGAGATTTGATTTTAATTTCTCTGTTGCAGAATTTTAAACATGAATACGAGTTTTCATTGTTTTGGTAGACTGGGAACATTAGGATTTAAGATGCTGATTTCAGATAATTTCTAATTATCATAATTATTGTTTTGGTTTGCTTAGTAACATGCTTATGTCCTTCCTGTTCATCATCTCTGTCTTGGCTGCATATAGAATTCACCCAAGGCTTTTAAAGGAGACCTATGTAGGGGCCAGGGCAATAATATCACGGGTACGGTGTTTGCCTTGTACCTGTTTGACCCAGGTTGATTCCTAGCATCCCAGATGTTCCCTGAGCCTGCCAGGAGTGATTCCCGAGTGCATAGCCAGGAATAAGCCCTGAGCATCTCCAAGTGTGGCCCAAAATCGAAATAAATAAATGAATAAAATGCCTGTAACTATTAAGGTACACTGTTGGGAGCTCCAGGGTATAGAAAGAATATAACTCCTAATAAAGTTTCTGCCTCTTAGGATGAAACAAGAACACAGTGGTTATACAAAGCAAAGTATGCTTAGTGTGATAAAAAATTACCACACTAATAAACCATGTCCAAATTTATTTTTACTAAAATGGTATTATTTTCCAGAGTGTCTGCCTGCATGTAAAATCTTAATCCATTTCCTGTTATCTCTCCCTCAGCAGCACCTTCATGTACTCAGGACTTGGTCCTAGTTCTGTGTGTAGGGATCTCTCCTGGT